AACGACAACAACAACGACAACAACAACAACAACGACAACAACAACAACAACGACGACAACAACAACAACGACAACAACGACAACAACAACAACAACGACAACAACAACAACAACGACAACAACGACAACAACGACAACAACAACAACGACAACAACAACAACAACGACAACAACAACAACAACGACAACAACAACAACAACAACAACGACAACAACAACAACAACGACAACGACGACAACGACAACAACGACAACAACGACAACAACAACAACGACAACAACGACAACAACGACAACAACAACGACAACAACAACAACGACAACAACAACAACAACAACGACAACAACAACAACGACAACAACAACAACAACGACAACAACGACAACGACGACAACAACAACAACGACAACAACAACGACAACAACAACAACGACAACAACAACGACAACAACAACAACAACAACGACAACAACAACAACAACGACAACAACAACGACAACAACGACAACAACAACAACAACGACAACAACGACAACAACAACGACAACAACAACAACAACAACGACAACAACAACAACAACGACAACAACAACGACAACAACGACAACAACGACAACAACAACGACAACAACAACAACAACAACGACAACAACGACAACAACGACAACAACAACGACAACAACAACAACAACAACAACGACAACAACAACAACAACGACAACAACAACGACAACAACGACAACAACGACAACAACAACGACAACAACAACAACAACAACGACAACAACGACAACAACGACAACAACAACGACAACAACAACAACAACAACGACAACAACAACAACAACGACAACAACAACGACAACAACGACAACAACAACAACAACGACAACAACGACAACAACAACGACAACAACAACAACAACAACGACAACAACGACAACAACGACAACAACGACAACAACGACAACAACAACAACAACGACAACAACAACGACAACAACAACAACAACAACGACAACGACAACAACGACAACAACAACAACAACGACAACAACAACGACAACAACAACAACGACAACAACAACAACGACAACAACAACGACAACGACAACAACAACGACAACAACAACGACAACGACAACAACAACGACAACAACAACAACAACGACAACAACGACAACAACAACGTCAACAACAACAACAACGACAACAACGACAACAACAACAACGACAACAACTACAACAACGACAACAACGACAACAACAACAACAACAACAACAACAACGACAACAACAACGACAACAACGACAACAACGACAACAACAACGACAACAACGACGACAACAACAACGACGACAACAACAACAACGACAACAACAACAACAACAACGACAACGACAACAACAACGACAACAACAACAACGACAACAATGACAACAACAACGACAACGACAACAACAACGACAACAACGACAACAACAACAACGACAACAACAACGACAACAACAACGACAACAACAACAACGACAACAATGACAACAACAACGACAACGACAACAACAAGGACAACAACGACAACAACGACAACGACAACAACGACAACAACAACGACAACAACAACGACAACGACAACAACAACAACAACGACAACGACAACGACAACGACAACAACGACAACAACGACAACAACAACAACGACAACAACTACAACAACGACAACAACAACAACAACAACAACAACAACGGCCACCACCCCCCCCCCCCCCCCCCCCGCTTGGGCGCGACCGAACGGGCCCAGGTGAAAGGAGGCGGCCGCCCTCCGCGGTGACGCGCTCCGGCCCCCCTCGGCCAGCCCCTGGTCCGCCCCGGTGGTACCGTCGGGCTGTAAAGAGTGACGGGTCGACCCGGTTCTGCGCCGATTGCCGACAGCTCATCCTCGGCGCGACGCCTTCCCCATCCCCCGCACCGACGACGCCTTTGACGGTCCTCGCTAGAGGGGTCGGGCACGCGGTACATTTCCACCCTCGACCTGACGTCCGGGCACTGGCAGGTGGGTAGATGGCGGATGGAGGATCGGCGTTCGCCACCCCTTCCGGCGGCTGCTTCGAGTTCCGGGCGCTCCCGTTCGGGCTCCGGGAACGGGAGCCCGCGACCCCTTCCGGCGGCTGATGGGAGCCGGTGATTGCGGGGGCTTAGCAGGCGGGAGCTGTGCCCGAACTTACCCGGACGACGTGAGGGTCCAAGGGCGGCGAGGGCTGCTCCAGCGACCGCGGGCGGGGGCCCCCGTCCCTCGGAAGCCGACGGAGTTCGGGTCGTTCCCTGGGGCTCGCCACCAATTACCGCCGAAGCGTGAAGGGATGCGGCGAGGGTTCCACGTCCCCTAAGAGCCCCTGTCGGTGGACGGGGGGGGGGGTGGGGGTGGAGGGGGCCCTGCCGGACGGCCTTCGCCACCGTCAAAGACCACCTCACCCACACACACACCACCCCAACCACACCCCCAACCACACCCCCAACCACACCCCCAACCACACCCCCAACCACACCCCCAACCCCACCCCCGACCACACCCCCGACCCTGGCCCGGCTTTCCCCGATTTCACCGCTGATTCTTTTCTGGGCACCGGCACCTCCGGCAGCGGCGGCAGCTGGGCGCTGGCACTGGGCGGGGCGCTGGGCGGGGCGCTGGGCTGGGCGGTGCCGGGACTGTGAGCGGGGCCCGAGCTGAATTACCGCGCGAGCCAGTCCAGGAGCTGTCCAAAGATGACCCGGCGGCTGGCCCCCGACGGGCAGCGCCCCCCCCC